TACACAGTGTAACAAGTGGCGGTTTAAATTACGCCAGCGCTAATTCCAGTGATGCACAAAAGAAATGATATTTAACGATTGGTATACAATACCTTGGGGATTCTGATTGGACATATTTCTTACCTTACTGTTATGCAGCGGTAACACGGATATTCTACTGCAGCACAAAATCCTCTTCATGGAGGCTGACATATTGAAAGGTCGCTTACAAATACCGTCTAAGATACCACGTGATACGCCATATGGCGCATTTAAGCGGCTGTTTGGTTCGCATTTTATTTAGACAAAACAAATGTATATAAACACGAAAGTTGTGGTTCACGCGAAGAATATACAATGGCTGTGTAAGTGAAACATTGGGTAATTTAAGGAGGATATAAGCGGCAATGAGCTTTAAATGACCTTTCCTGACCTCCTACTGGTAGACCCAATTGCATTTGTCCCATTAAACAGTCACTGCGATAAATTTCTTCATTCAAATTGATAAAGAACAACATGAAAAATGTAGGTTAACCCACGGTTTTTGTCTGCCAATGATAAAATCAGTATATGTTACAAATAAATGAGAAAATTGACATCAGGCATTTTAATGCGATTTTTAAAAAGCATATGAACAAATAAAGGCATGCCAAAATCCGATTTACTCTCACAAAGCATGCTGGGTCATTTATGACTATTTTCACCAATGATCGCTAATTCACAGTGAGAGTGAGTTTTAATCTCAAATAATGGAAAAACATTTAATTGTTGGAGCATATTTATTTTCTGATATTCCCTCATAAATCTGTTAATAGGTATTGCAACACCAGTGGTTCTTGGAATAAATTTGCATCAATATTACAAAAATATATGAATACAGCAATTGAGCATTTCAAAAATGATTTGAAAACTATTTCAAATATTTACACAAACTGCACAATTTACTACAGAACTTGCACAATTCGGATGTTGAAAATGTATATCAGCAGTAGTCTTTTGTATAAAGATCTGCTTTCAATAGTCAATTTCCCTGTATGTATGCTATGTTACAGATAAAAAGGAAGCCATATTACTTTTTTCTCTCCGAAGACACTGTATTGTTGAGTGCAGTAAGGAAATGAGGATTCTTCTTTTTTTCATACCTACTGACAGCCCAAAGATTAAGAATTAATTCTCTTTATTACTTGTGAAACAATAATATCTTAACTGCACGATGTACATCATGTACATCGTAAGTCAAAACAGGATTAGATTCATTACAGCATTCTCAAAAATATGAGGAATATTAATTAATGCCAGGACAAGTGACATTTTATTCAGTCTTCCAAGAGGTGTTTTTCAGTAGAATAAATATGGCTTTGTCCGTCTCAAGCTGGTAATGTGTTGATTATGGCATGTGAAAAGGAATCACCATGGACACCCTCTCTTTCTGTCTAATGAATCATGTTAAAGTTGTACAAGACATGAATTCCAGTTTAAAGATCCTTTATCCAGTCAGTTGTGACCTGAGAAAGAATGGCTGGGAACAGTTTCATCTGCTGCTACAAAGTCATCATTATGTTTGAGGATAGTAGGGATTTGAGTAGCTCCAAGCACCATAGTTGTAACCAGGCTGAAAGAGATGTATTTGAATATATAAATACCACCAAGTATTCATATCAAAAGAAAAAGAGACAATTCACATAAAAAAAAATTTACTGAGGTTCTTCCAATATATTTCATGTTTTTTTTTCTGTATAAGAATCTCTTCTTGTCTGAAGCATTTTCAACTTGTTTAAAGTTTTGATGTACAAATTAATGTCAAAATAACTTTTAACAAGTATCCATTTCTAAAACCTACAGAAAACTACAAAAGCTTTTAACAAAGACAAAATTAATTCACTATATGCATCAAAGAATATCTTTCAAATGTCTGCTACTCTTCAATATAAAGACTATGTAGTCTAAACAGTCAACCAGTCGGTACATACATGGTATCCAGCCCAGGAGTTTGCATAATAACTGGAATGATCTGTCATGGCTGCTGTTGTGGTGTCTCCAGCGCCCTCTTTACTGTGACCATTGTGACTGTCCTGCCTGGCTTTTTTCTCTGCATTAGGGTCCTCACTACAGTAACAATCTCAAATGTCAGTCTGGTCTACATAACATATCGTTTTTTTTTTAAATTTCATTTATTTCATCAATGATTCTAGTGTTTGTTATCTTTATCTAATAAATTAATGTACTGATTATATTAGTATGTACACAAACTTCTTTTACAAAATATTATTAATTAGGAATGAACTATTTGCACAAATAATAAAAACTGAAAATTATGCAAAACAGACAAAACTGTGCAAAAAAAAAAAAAAAAAAAAAAAAAAAAGATTCTTACCCTAAAGATTCAGATGCTTTTCTCTTTTTTTCATTGGCAACATCTTTTAGCAGCTTCTGGTGATCATCATAAGCTTCCACAAGCCTGAAAATAAAATTATTTTCATTTACAGACAGATCATCATATTCAATAAAACTTAAAGCTGGCAGGAAAGTGAACCATAAAAGTAATGAATGTCACAGTAATATGACCCAAGACATTATTCCTACAAGCTACAGTCAAGAATGATAGAAGCATACAAAAAGTCAATTTACGTAATGTGAATTCCTTTATCAATGACATACTTTTCTATGGAAGATCCAAAGTCTTCTAGGAATTCTAACTTTCTCTGAGAGAACTTGAGTTTTTCTTCTATTGTCATTTCAGTGGATAAAACATTGTTGAGAATGCCTAGTATGCCGTCTTCTACAAGGGGACTGGTTTGGTACTCCAGATCTAGTAACTGTAGGTGAAGCTTGCTGTTATTCTGAAATATAAACACAACTTTTAGTCTTCTCACTCCAGACTGCAAGCTAAAAACACAAATATAGGAATTTGAACTCATCTGTTCCTCAGTGATCTTTACGAAAAGCATGGATACTGACAGGAACAAGTAGTGACTTATATTTCTCTTAGAAAGAAATAGACCTTGATACTTTGCATTTATGTATTACTGTATCCTTACTGAACTGCTTTTAATGTTTAAAAATCTTCATTTCAAGTTTTCACTTCTGTTACCATTCACATTAAGAAGTTATCATTGTGCTGTCTTAACTCATAATCACAAAATGGATTCTTTACATCACCATTCTAACACTTACAGGGTCCTTTTTTAATGCATTTAAAAGAACCTCTTTGGCTTTTTCTCTGTCATTATTAACCTGGAATATTCAAATGGTATACTGCTAGCACATTATGAGAAAATGAACCTTAGTTTATATCTAATAGTCTTTATCAAAAGCAGAAGTTTAACAAGGCTTTTAAATTAACAAAAATCAATGTAGAATTATTTTTGGCTTACAATGTTGTTGTCTATGAAGCCAATTGATCTTCAAGGTAGGTAATCAAATAGGGTAAAATTGGTCACACATTCTAACATTTTTTCATCCAGCATACGCCTTTATCTACTTAAATCTCATAAAACTTCCAGCAAACTAAATATACCAGTAACTGGACCATTACCTTCAAAAGATGTCTAGAGAATTTCAAGGAGAGGAATGAATGTTCTTCTGGTGATGTGGCAGTATCTAAATAAGCCTGATATAACTCATGTACTTGATGATGGTTGCCATGACGCCGTTCTAGACCAATTCTCCTCAGAGGAACCATCACCAGTCCTGGGACTCTCTTCTCTATGTTACGCAAGATTTCAAGGGCACTTTCATAATTACCTGAAATATGGTAATACCTTATAGAATCGAGAGCAAAGAAATCATAAATCCAGCCCTACCGAAAAAATCGGATATCACCAGAGACTGGCTAAACCTGGTACGCAGAATGAGGAACCGGTACAAATTCTACGGGAAAAAAACACAAGGAAGCCGTTTTAAAACACGTTCAAACTACACCCCTTTGACATCCCCGAACGTTTGGCTAGAGTCATATCTGGACGCCACGAGAGCTGAACTCTACGATACCATACTCAAGACAAAAGCCAACCCTACAGAATCAAATGGAAATAGAAACGTGAACGAAAATACAGGAAATCTCTCTAAAGGCGAACGTCGAGCTCTGGCCGAATTACGGAAAGCCACCGACATTGTCATCCCTAAAGCAGACAAGGGAAACGCAATTTCCATCATGGATAGGGACGCCTATATCAACGAAGGCATACGCCAGTTGAAAGCTGCACACCACTACAGGAAAATTGAGCAAAATATCACCATGGAAACCGCCCGCCTTATCAGCAGTTTTCTACACGAAGGGTACAAAAAGGGAGAAATTGATCAATCAACCCTTGAATATCTAGATCCACTGCAAACTCCCCTCGCAACATGCACCCCGGACCTGTATCTTCTCATGAAAATTCATAAAGAACCCCAAACCACGGGTAGACCGATCATAGCCTCGAATTCCTGTCCCACAGAGAGAATTAGTGAATTCTTAGACTATTTCCTCATACCCATAGTCCAAAAGCAGACGACATACCTAAAGGACACGCCAGATTTCATCAGACACGTTATAAAACTGAAAATACCAGACCAAGCCCTCCTAGTTACAGCTGACATCTGCAGCATGTACACAAATGTACTTCACTCGGATGTCATCTCAGCCGTCAGAGCTGCACTGGAAAAAAATACCAACATGAAATATGACATCAAAAGACCGTCAACTAACTTCCTGATAGGGCTTCTGGAACTTATTTTAAAAATAAACTCCTTCCAATTTAATGATGAAAACTACATCCAAATCAAAGGCGTGAGCATGGGCTCATGGGTATCACCGGAGGCATCGGATCTAGCAATGTACCCGTTTGAACTCACACTCATAGAACATTACAAAAGAAACATTATCTTCTACAAAAGATACAGGGATGACATTTTCCTACTCTGGCTGGGCGACGAATCAAGTCTAAAAACTTTTTTCGAAAATGCGAATACACGGCACCCGACGATAAAATTCACCTACGATTTCTCTAAGAATGAAGCTACGTTTTTAGACACGTATCTCTTTAAAGGGGACAACTTCAAGACCACGGGACACCTGGAAACAAAAGTTCACACAAAATCAACGGACACATTCCAATATCTCCATAGAACATCATGCCACCCGCCATCGGTTTTCAAGGGCTTAATCAAAGGGGAATGCACCCGATACGCTAGAAACAACACAATAAAGGAAGAATTTGAAATAAAAAAGACTTTCTTTATTAATAAATTAGCAGAACGAGGATATGACAAGAACTGGTGCGAGAAAATAGCAGAACAAGTAGATTACGAAACTTTCCACACGAACGAACCTATGATCGCAAAATGCCCACGCACTGAACTATGTGAAGCTCCGCTGATCTTCACAACTACTTACAACCCTCACACTGAAAGTCTGAGGGAAGCCCTACGTAAAAACAGGGATCTTATAGAGAATAGCGAAACTTTGAAAAATATCTTCCCAAACCCACCAATGCTTGCCTACAGGAGAAACAAAAATCTCTCCGATATCACATCAAGCAAATTAAAAAGCAATAAACAAAAACCAAAAGAGGGATAATCCAATTTAATAACGTATTCCAAATCGGATTCGGTCCTTTTCAGGCCCAACACTATACAGCAGAAAGATACTACACACAAAAGTGAGCTTACCTATAACCACCAACTGCCCTTATAAGGACCCACAAAGGTTAATTATCATAAACAACAAATACGATCTCAAGTCTAAGATCACAAGGAAAGTTTGAAGAACCATAAATATTTCTGCCCATCTCAGGACCCCGTTTTTATTTGTTCATATATCTTAAAAGGAAAGACAAGAGGAATTACACAGAACAACAAAAGATCACAATTTAGGAAATCAAATCACAATACACCTACTCCAAGCTTTAAATTAAGAACCAATCAGATAAGGAGCACGCAACTGACCTAAATAGGAACTCCACCAATCAAGGAAATATAGGATAACCTGCATACAACCGTAGCACGACTCACTTGAACCAATCAGAATGAAGCAACATCAAGGAGACCCTTGACGTCCGGGCACTCCTTACTTATATTCAGATTAATCTCTGGATCAAACATAAGTCTGTCTACACAGCAACCTACCATGTACCCTGAAACGAAAATGCACCGTGATACTCTGAGACAAAGGAGGGAACGCAACCAATGGCCAAAACAATGACAACTGGAGTCAAAGAAGTGGCACACTACATGACCACCAAAAAGCAGAATCCCTAAACGCCCAGCACCCCTGACCGCGCCGCAAAACTCAAATAATCCCCACCATGAAGAGGTGAGGGAAGCGAAGCAGTACGCGGCCGGCTGCCAAGAGTGGGCCGAGCACATCACGAAACAATTAACCAGGGGGAGTCATAACGTCCGGGCCAGAGTTGACGTTAAGGGCTGTCCTGACTATGAAGTCCTACTTACCCAGCTCATCGAGATACAAGAAAAGGCCTCAACCCAAATCAAAGAGACAATAGAACACCACATCGCTACTTTCGTCGAGAATGCGAAGGGGAAACTAGCAGAGGCCTCGGCCTAGGAATCCCAGGCGGAAGCCTTCTACAAGGTCCATGGTACATATGAAATGCGGGAATTAAACCAACCACCACCCACCCCTGACTCCTCTCTTATAGAACAAGTACGTGACCTGCTCCTGAAGATGAAGACAAAAAAGAAAAGAGCCGTCATCTCCACTACAGCGAAACGAAAGACAACCGCCACCCTCAAACGACTCTGAGAAGGAGACCCATTACAAAACAACAGCCCTTTTCAGGGCTACACATATGATCAGGAAAAGCTATACCTTAATGTTCTAATGCTAAATAAAGCAAGAAATAAAGAACACCCTCTTGTCACACACCTTAAGCGATAAATCTCAACTTCTACTCCCAGGAGAAATAATATCTTTCCTTAATCCCTACACCACCCAAGGGCAAATTAAACCCCCCCCCCCACAGAAAAAGACACGGGGAAATGAACTCAACAAATCAAAAAGGGCAACAGATATGCTCACATCGCTCCAAACATGGATGTCTCTACTGAAACGCACACACGTTACTATCCACTATACCGTTTTTCTTAAAAACCTGTTTCAAAGAAACGAGATCTTAAAACGCATATAACAAGCCGTCTGGTCGTAAACATATCTTACAGAGGCAACCCTCCTAGAACACTACTTCTAGATCTAGTTGTCCTCCAGACAACCTCACACCTCAAACCCTGATTACAGAATGAATATTATCCAATCAGAAGAGGCCATGTCTGTCAACCAATCAACGGACACTAGGGGCTATTTAGAGGCCGGGAAGCCACCGGCACAGACAGTTCTCACTCGACTATTGAGCAATCAACACGACGCGGTCAGAACCCACCAGCTCACAATAGTGACCACAGACCACGCAGGTGACTGTCCTCACCACCTCTACTGTGCCGCTATCTGTAAGCACCACAGCCACAAAAGCGAGACACTTTTGTGTAACTACGGAAATCGTCACAAGCGAAACCTTGTGCACGCATTCCTCACGGTGATCTGCCAAGCAGACACACACACACAAAGGCGAGACACCTTTGTCAGGACGAGACGTCCTAGCACATTTGTGCACCCTGCTTTACATAAGCAGCTACACACAAAGGCGAGACACCTTTGTCGGGACGAGACGTCCTAGCACACTTGTGCACCTTACTCTGCATAAGCAGTCACACACAAAGGCGAGAAACCTTTGCGGAGAAAGTCCTACAATACCAGGACGAACACTCCATCCTGTGATAACCATAAGGTTATACACAGTACTGACCACCCC